CACACACACACACACACACATACATGCATACTCTCACCTACATCAAAGGCACAGACTGAAGTCAAAGTCGTACAATACGTGAACATTATTGTTGTACCAATGCGCGACAGCAACAAAAGACTAAAGTTCATATCATTAATAAAACAAATGTTCACCTTCACCTAGGCCAATACAGTACTAAAATAGACGTCCCGTCTGTTCTAATCCCACAATAAAAGAATACAATAAATGTGTACTTAAAACAGCGCCTTAGTACATGAATAAATAAACATAGTGTATAACCCGTTGGTTTTGTGAAGGAAAGAATAGCCTTTTAAAAGTCATAACCGTAATAATAATTGTGATGATAATATTATCAATATCAACAATGATAGCAAAGATAACTGTTAATTGTCGTCACTATCATGATTGATATCAATATTATGATAAACTGGGTTATTGCCATTCATTCCTCCACAAAACTTCAAGCGGCAATGTTCAAACTTTGAGCATGTTAAATTCAACAATTTCTCGAAAGACAGTAAGGTATTCAGTTTAAATTATTTCGAAACTGCAGCATGAATAATCATCTAACAAAATGTATTTTTTAACCTCTCGCCTGTTTTTGTCAACCAGTTAACTGGCTTCCAGATTTTTAAAAACTTAAAACAAATCAGAAGCTGTCTTAATGATACAGATGTTTTGCAAGAGAAAATTATAGAGATAAAACAATGATGCCTCAAATACAGCTTCTTTACTTCGTCTTTATTCCCAAAATCTCTTCGGATGATAATAATCATTGATGTTTTTGAGGGGTGCGCTTTTTCACAGAACCCTTAACTATTAAAATCGATCAGTCGAGACATCGGTTTTGTTATAACAGGAGGAACTTGAACAGGTACTATCTTCAGATCTAATTGGATGACGTGTTGGTTCGATTTTTGAGTATTCATTGGTTAACATTCAAGCATGCAACACTTCCATGACGCGATCACATTGTGTTGAATGCAGACGAGTCTTTCGAAAACGACAACCTTATAATTGTAACAAAATAATTTTATACACAGCCACGCATTCCTATTTATATATTATACAAATGTCGTCGATACACAATTAAAATGAATGTTATAAGAGCGGGTTGCACATGGTAGGGGGTTGGGTGTAGACACCATAAGATATGGATGTATCGAAGAGGTAACAGAAATATCACGAGATTCGCCAGACCAGCTGGCTTGGAAGATGCGTGGGGCACTGACTTATGAGTCCGCAAAGGACTCAGACACAGACACACTACACCGGGTTAATTAGGGGCATCCGTGGTGGGAAAACATGGAAAGAATGATTAACGGCACAAAGTGAAATAGCAGCAGCTTCATCATCCTAAAATACCCAGAGAACCAACAGTTTCCACATATTTTATCAAGAATGGTGGTAAATGAACTAAAAGTTGTATAGCACGAAAAAGTCATCATTTTTGTAGAATGTTATCTGTTATAATCGATGACGCTTGCCCAAAATATGCATCTTTTAAAAAGTAAAACGCAAAGGTCTTGCGCTTGGACTTAATCCCTCTTAAAATGATAACACTTAATCAACTGAACTTGACAAACTAAAAAGTATGAAGTTTGCTGTTATTTTACCTTCTGCTTTTTTATATAATATATTTTGATATGTTGGCCCTAGCTGCCCACCACCAGTCACTCTTGAGACACAATTCCCTTTGAAATATACAAATATAAAAAACAACAACCCGAAAACCCAAAATGATAACTAGAACATCAATGAAAAACATTTTGCCAGCTCAGCCCAATATAGGCTCCAGTGGAAACCATCACTATTAGAAGAAACATAAAGAAATAATATGGGGTCCAGCCCTGTACGGTTCTTGTTCCTGTTTCTTCCCAAGTGCCACTTTCTTGTGATGACGTCACGCGGAGCTCAAAGGAGCTTCGCCAAGGAAATCCTGAGTGATGACATGAAAGACGTAGAAGTAGCCGATCAACAGCACGACTCGCCGTATTGATTTTCAAAAAAATCTTTTTTTTTTTTTTTAAATTCGAAAACTTCGAAACTGTCCAAGCGCTTAAAGTTCATGCGTATCATGATTCCGTCTTCTTGTCCTGACATGGAAGATGACTTGATCCTGCACAAGCGTAGTTGGAAATGTTCGAGACTGTCTCATGTTGAAAGACTTCTAAAGTGAAGTATAATAACACTGGCACTCTGGGCTCTTGTAAAACAACCACAGAATACACGCATCACTTTTAGAGCTTTTTGGGGGTGCAGAACCTACGACAGTCGAGGACCTTGCCTTGTTTCGCTCAGCCTTAACATACGATTTTCCTCACATTTCGACTCCAGACAAAATATTGTCTTCTTCTTGTTCGAAAGCTTCTAAAAAATGCTTGAAACAATAGTTCTGGTCCTCCGATTCCTCGAGCATCAATGATGGGACGATCTTCAGATGGTTGGGATTCAACTCGTGGGTTTCAGTTCTTTATTATTATGAACACATCATTCATTCGTCGAATAGTTTTGAAGTTGAAAACCATGTTCGCCTATTAATCGAAGGAGTCTGTAGCACCAAAGCAGAGAAGCTTGTCTCTGTCTTTCAACCGAAAACCATACTGGTGATAGAGTCAGTGACACACAAACTGTCGTTACGCCACGGAGAACGCGTCAGGTGGGGGTGCAGAAGGCTGAAATACCTGGATAGGATCCACGGACACAGCTGGTCGCGCGATGACCTGCAGGAGAAAAACAGAGAACAGCGTTATAGTACGACCAGTCGAACAAAACTTTATCATTTTTTATTCTTACTGTTTTCTAGGAGTGTTTGGTTTAATGTTTCTGATTCACCTTAAAGATTGGTTCTGTTAGATGTGTATGTGGAAGTGTGTTTGTGTATCTGAGTGTGTGTGTGTGGGGGGGGGGGGGGGGGGGGGTTGAACGGTTGCCGGGTGATGTTCCAGTATAGTTCGGTGCTTTTACGTATAAGGTTGCATTCGTTTACAATACAAAATTAGTTATGACTTCATAATAAGTATTTCCTTGAGAGTTGCAATGAGGATTGGACGATAAAAATATTTGATACATTAATAATATTAAAAAGAATCAGATATGATATTTTACAGCCTCTCAAAACTGTCTTCTGAAAATCGAACTGCAGACAACAGAAAAGACAGGCTACCAATTCCAAAGAGAGAAAATCTTGTGCGAAAACTGGAATAACTCGTAAATATCTTAGAAGAATTCCCAGGTTAAATGGATTTGAAATTTCCTTAGCTGACTGTTGCGAATACCAAATGAGAACTTACATAGTTTGTGAGTTTGCTGGAGGGGTTGGAAAAGTTGTCGTTGCCATTTAAGTCGTCCGAGTAATGTGTGTACTTCAGATGCCTGTAGAAAAGACAGATGTACAATAATGGTTAATACAAATTAATGAACCCAAATGCGATTTTAACATTCTTTTTTGGTTCTGGCTTTCACTTTCTGCTCACGTAATAAGATTATAATATTTAAACCTGTTAACTGAAACTACCAGCTCTGAAATAATTCGTTTTATAATTGTGATGCCCACAAAGAGAACCGTCTATTATGAGCTATAAAGGTCGAGAATGTTGTCATCTCCCATTTACGAAGGCCACGCCAAAATGGTCTCTTATAAATAAAAATAACCAAGAGTTTTTTTTCAACAAAATTACAGCAAAAGGGAACCAACACCAATAACAATATGGGAACATCGATTTTAAAAGTATTGATCGCAACAGCAACAACAATAATGACAACAACAACAACCGAATAGCAGCGACAACAAGTTGCTGTTATAATGATGACAACAGCAACAAACAATAACAGCTGTCACAACGACAATGACAACAACGAGAAACAACCAAAGTGACGAAGTCTTCCACTTAAGATCGATACTTACTTCTGAGACCTCTTTCGGCAGATCAAGAACCAGCAGCAGCAGCCCATGAGGCCTATACACATGGCCATAGCACCCAGCACAATGCCAGTGATCTCGCCTGGGTCCAGCCGATTCCTATCATTTTCGCAGTATTTGCCTTCCCAGTTTTTGCCACATCTGAAAAGGATGACAGAAACAAAGAGTTCTCTTTTAATCCGAATAAAGAAATATTTGACTGCTTTGGCAGTTATTTATACGGGTGAAGCTCACACCCCGAAATCCAAAGTGGACGTCATATTCGGTGGAGGGAGGGGGGGGGGGATTTTTTTGCTTTGGGATTGTTGGGGGGTTTTTTTTTGGTTGTTTGGGTTTTTTTTTTTTTTTTTTTTTTTTGGGGGGGGGGGGGGTCAAACTGCGTATTATTTGCTGCAGATCACACTTATAGCCACT